ACAAGACAATTTACCAAGGATTCTTGTCCAAGCTTTGATCTAAAACAACACGCTTCTGGCTACGTGGGAGCATGACTCCGCTATCCCTGCTTTGCATCTCAAACAATGTACTAAATTTACTGTGCCATCTTTATCGTTCATTTGCTGTGAGTGTCTCACCTTTCCTGTCACAATGTACTTTTCACAAACAACGCAGCCATGGACGCTGGTAATATACCCCAACATCATGAAATTGTAAGCTTTCAAACTCTTGTATGCCTTGAACTGCTGCCTAGGATAGAAGCTGGTTTCAAGGACTAAATAACTCAACAAATCCGTCACTTCCACTGGAGGGAGACAGTCCGAGCTGTCCATCAAGGCTTTTGCAATAATCGGATATTATTTGTACCTTACTACAAAGTTCATCAACATTACTACTAAGTTCATCAACGGACGAAATACATTCATTTTCAGCAACCTCCATTGCACTCTTCTAGCGATGGCATATGTAAACACTTTAAACAAGCTCGCGAAGGAACGCCAACATGAAATCGTACTAAATTATCAAGCAATAGCAAACATTTTTGTTGAGAAAAGGAACTCATATGTAAATACCCGATTATAGCGGAGCTGTGGCGCGCGAAGCGCGCCTGCGGAGCACCATGGGTAAGTAAATCTACCCATCCCAGAAAATTTGGTAATCACGTGACTGTACACCGCCCGCCCGCCCGCCTGCCCGCTGCCCGTCCGTCCGCACCACAGGGTAACCAATGTTCAATCTCACACTTTCTAGCTAGTTTGGGAGCACAGGAAGACTGATATTGCACACATATTGTACATCAATGTTGTGATCAATTGACAGCTGTCAAAACAGAGTATCCGCTGACCAGTATCACCTGACCGTATCGCGGGCTCAGGTGTCGACTCATCGAGGTCTTTGAGCTTTGAGCGATTTTCTTGCCTCCATTTCATCTTTGAAAACAGCAAGCACCCGGAAGCCGGCTTTAAACGTAAACAAGGTTTTTCAGAGACACTTTAATATTTGTCTTCGTGAATGAAAATTGTTGTCTCCGTATATGTTTCATCGAATTATTTTCGTTTTATTATTGATTGTTAGTAGTCTCTTTGCAATTTTAATCGCTGAGCCGTTTGATTTCAGTCGCTCATGAACATCGCTTGCAGGACTAGTCAAAATGCCACTCGTATCAAACGCTTTTGAAGATTACAAATCGTTATAAAACCATTAGATAAAAAATAAACATAATAAATTCTTTATTATGTTGAAGCGTATAACTCTATTAATCTTTATTTAAACAGTCGACTTTGGCGCTTTTCAAAAGTGAGAACCGGCTAGCCGTATAGGTGATTTTGGAAATTTTTTAACCGTTTCGCTAAAAAAAAAATAAAATAAAATAAAAACTTTATTGAGACTCTCTTCAACAGGGCTTTTCAGTCACAATGTTAATTATTACATAATACTGGTAATTAAGAAAAGAAAAGAAAACTTATTTACAGTAGTTCAATTAAATTCAAAATGCATGCAAAATTATTCAAAATATATTCAAAATTATTTCGTCTCCGCTTAAAATTGTCAATACCTTTAGTGTTCTTAATATTGTCAGGTAGCCCATTCCATTCCTTTGGACCCCGAAAATAAAATGCCCTTTGTCCCATTGATAGTCTACATCGGGGGACCACAAAATTGTTACATCCCCTTGTGTTCTTGTAGTGAATTGCTGAACGTTTAATAAAATATTTACCTAAATAATCTGGAGCTAAGCCATGTACACATTTGAATACTAAAACTAAGTCATTAAATAGAACCTTCTCCGTAACATCTAACCATTTAAGAGATCTCCGTCCCTGGGAGATATGGTCAAACTTCTTTAAACCTAATACAACTTTGGCAGCAAACTTTTGTACCAACTGCAGTTTGTGTAGGTTACGTTTAGATGTGTTCCCCCATACTGAGGAACAATAAAAAAGTTTACTGAAAACAAAGCTATTTATAAGTAATAAAAGGGTTTTCCTATCCAAAAGATGTTTAATTCTACCTATCTGTACCAAGTGGTTCATGCAGCTAGAGACTGTTTTAGTAACATGTACATCGTAGGTAAGATATTGATCAATGTATACCCCGAGATCCTTAGCAACTGACACTGGTGAAATAGTTTTGCCCAACAGGGATAAGGAGATATGAGGAAGTCTCTTAATAAGTTGTTCTGAGCCAACAACCACTAATTTTGTCTTCTCTGGGTTTATGAGTAGAGAATTCCTTGCACACCATTTACTGATGTCCCTAAGATCTTGGTTTACGGCTGCCATAGCACTTGATGAGTCTGATACAGAAAATGTAAAGTGCAATTGGCTGTCATCAACATATGCAGCGGGTGCTTCGATCGTCCTGAATATTGAATAAGTGCAATTTGTATTGCAAAATTGTGAAATACTGCATTCTGTCCGAGGTCTGTATGATAAAAACAGCGCCTCATGGTACTGTTTCACCTCAGATGTGATGTATAAAAAGTATAAAAGGTTGGTTTACACGTCCCCAGACTTGTTGGCAAGATTTTGTAAAGTAAACTTGTCGAAAGCAAAAAATTCGGCCTGATTTGTTTTCCAGGCCTAATCAACTGTGATCAAGAGCCATTATGGCTATGCTATTTTTTGGGTGTACATATAAGGCTATAAACTCGGTGTAAGATTAAGTTCACTCTTAGCTTGGACTGTCTGCAAATTATTTTTCTCTAAAATCGCTTAGCCTTTGCCTCAAAAGTCACATGAATGTGCTCTAAAGCTAACTGAGTTGTGGAAATTACAAGTTTATTGTTTGATTTAAATTATAAATTCGAGTTCATAGGAGCTTCGCTTTTAGCCCTGGCTAAATCTATGTATATATAACTATTATTTAAGAAAAGCTGTTAACCTATATTGATGAAACAATGGCCTTAGGGAGGCAGTTCCAGTCCGCTATAGTTTTTGGAAAAAACGGAAATTTAAAAACGTCTTTATTTGCATATGGCACGCGAAATTTAAATTGATGGCTTTCCCTCGTGCGAATCTCGGAGTGTTGAATTAAATATTTTCGGGTATCTATATCAATAAGACCATGAGTTAGTTTATACATAAGTGTTAATCTAGACTGCCTTCTTCTCGTTTCCAGCGTGGCCAACCCTAAGTCTTTAATCATGTCCGTAACACTGGCATATCTATTATAATTCTGTGAGCAGAACTATGCTGCTTTCCGTTGAACCCTTTCCAGAGCACTGATTTTTTTTTTAAAAAAACGGGTCCCAAGCCGCACTTGCATATTCCAGCTTCGGTCGTACTAGGGATGTATATGCAATTTCTTTTACATTCAATGGACAATTGCAAAGGTTGCGTTATATTGTACCCAGCGATTTGTTTGCTCCAGCTGCTGTCATGGAAACATGGGCTGACCACTTGAACTTGTTACTGATGGTAACCCCAAGGTATGGGAAGCTATCAACCTTTTCCAATTCTACACCACATATATTTTCTCTGGGGTGGATTTTTCTTATGAGATGCGTAGGTCAGATTGAAGAAGGTCACAGTCCGCATCGCTAGCGACAATGTCGTAAAGTAAAGCGTCGTCCACAAAGACGATAAAAAAAAGAGCAGTGGGCCGATGACTGTACCCTGGGGTACGCCAGAACTCAGCGGACATTGACTTGATGTTAGGCCTTCACAAACAACTGATTGAAAACGTTGTGTAAGAAACGACTCTAACCAATTTAGGATTCCATAGTGCTGCAGCTTCCTTAGGAGTCACCTATGAGGGACCTTGTCGAAAGCTTTGGCAAAGTCCAAAGTGGCCGCTTGGATAGATGAGCTCTGAATAGCCTTTGCCATGTCGTGTAAGGTGAGAATTAGCTGCATCTCTGTGGATCTCTTTGCCCTAAAACCATGCTGACGGTCTGTTATGATGTTATGGTCGTTTGGATGTTTCAGAATAAAGCTGTGGACGATATGCTCGAGGATCTTCGATGCAACACACGTAATAGATATAGGTCTATAGTTGGCTGGGACAGATTTCTTTCCCTTTTTAAAAACTGCACACACATTAGCCTCCTTCCATGGGGGACAGTGCCACTGTCTATCGAGTCTTGAAAGATGTCAGTTAGTATTGGAGCAATGTCTGAAGCAAAAGTTTTGAGAAACCAGGGTGGAATCTGGTCTGGGCCACAGGCCTTGTTAGGATTTAATGAAGACAGCTGTTTTAAGACTCCTTGTTCTGAGATAATTAAAGACTCCAAATCAGGTGTAGGATCAGAGCCCATTTCTGGAATGTTTTCAAGGTCCTCCTTAGTAAACACACTTGAAAATTGGCTGTTTAAAATTTCTGATGTAAGACCACCATCATTTATAACTTTGCCGTCGACTTCAAAGTCTGCTATCCTTGGATTTTCTTGTTTAAGCCGTTTTACGTAGGACCAAAAAACGTTTTGGGTTGTCTTTGATTGCCTCACTAAGGTGGCCACTGATATACTCCTCCCTTGCAGACTTACGATTCTTGTGCATGCGTTTCCTGGCGCCAAAAAACTTGTTCCAGTGATGTACAGATCCTGTTTTCTTTGCCTTGTTATATAGTCTTTGTTTCGTCCTGGATTGTCGTCGAAGCAAGCAATTGAACCAAGGTAAGTTGTATCTTGAAGTTGTCATCTCATGCGGGATGCAAGAGTCCATAATGTTGCGAACACTGTTTTCAAAATCATTCCACTTCGCTTCCACCGAGTTGTTATCATACTGAGTGTTGAGCTTTTCAGACAGTGTTTTTAATTCCAATTTAATACGCTCATCGTCAGATCGCTTTCTAATGTAAACTCATGTGGTCGATAAAAGGATGCAAGGAAGAGTGATTTAGACCGCCTTCCAGCCATTTGGCATTGGCTCCAGATGATTTTGCAATCTGTGTCCAGGTCAACGCGATGCGTGGCTATGATATCACCTTTTATTGCTTGGAAAACACCGCCACCGTTTTCACCATCAACTCTGTCCTTTCAAAATACAGTATAACCTTCCGGAAAGATCTCTGAACTTGTAATTTCTGAGTTTAACCAGGACTCATTGCCAAGAATTACGTCGGGCTTGTGTTCATCAATTACAGCCGAGATGTCTGCGATCTTTTTCTTTAAGCTCCGGCAATTTATGACCAGACATGTCAATTTCCTTGGTTTGGGGTTTCGTTTAAAATGGCGTGACACCTTTGTCGACATTTGTTTACGATGTGCTTGTGGTGGAGAAACTTTGTTGTCGCAATCATTCAGTGGGTCAAAACTATTTGATGAGCACAAGGAATGCAGTGAATTATCGAAGAAAGAGTCTGAAAAGTTAGGCAAGGACGAGTTTGCTAGGATCTCGTACATCTCATGCGATAAATCGCAACAATCAGTCCTCACGTGAAACCATTGCTCGCACTTGTCGCACTGAATCCCCATTTGATTAGACTTAACAGGCTTCGAGCTTATACCACTAGGAAATTTCCACCAACCCAACCCAACTAATGATAAAGTTGCTATTAACAAGCAGTTTTTGGAACAAGAGGTCCAAAAATCTCATATTAAACCAAATCATTACAACAATGAATTTAGATACTTGATGGCTGATAAATTAGAATGGAGATAGTTTTTCCATTTCTAAAATTGATAATTTAGTACCTCATGAGGGCAACTATCATCAGTATAATCGTAAAGTTCCATTCACAACCAGTAGAAAGGATCAAACAGGCGGATGTACATATGAAATAGGAATACTATGTTTTCCACTTGATAAAGACAAAGATTATACTCTCTGTAGTGAAATATTAAATTCATATTACCAATTATGGCATAAATCAGTTGCTACAATTGATAAAAATAAATCACAGGGGTTAACAATTGACGGTGCCGCGGTACAAAAATTTTCTCATAGATATATAAATAATAATGGGAGTTTTGAATACATGTATTATACCAAAATAATGGTAAATTTTAAAAAAACTGCGCTGGATCCACTTTACAACCTGCATCTCTATGTTGATATTAAGCAAAATGGTGATAATCTTAATACATATCCGGTAAATTTGAGAAAAAACTGGATTATTGCTTATGGCGTTGATGGAAAAACATCATCAATTGACCCTCAAAAAACATACGATTACCATACAGCCTTTGATATCAAACCAACAGAAGTTGTTTATAATGTAGGCCTTGATATGAACCAAAAAAAGATAAACAACATTGCACTTGATGAAATGCAAGATGAGTCGGCGGCTACTGTGAAAATGGTCAAAGGAGTAAAATCATTTATCAGGATAAACTCATGAGGAAATATTTGATCAGGTATTTGATATCAGTGATGTTAAATCATTAAAATTGTTGGGAAAGTTTCTGGTGTTGTTATCGCTGGGTTTGTTGGCATGATATTTCCAAGTGATAAATTATTGTCAGATTACCAAGCAGATGCAGGAATCACTTTCACTGGATCATGCATAATAACACTGACTAAAACACATACCCTAAACGATCATTTTACTGTAGCCTATGTTAAATATTATGAAAATACATCAAATTTTATGTTTAAAATCAACGGATCTTCTGCGGCTCATTTATAGTTATCGATAATAGAATGGAAACAATAGCCATGGGTCGATCTAGAGTAGCAATACCCAGTGCTTTTCATAAAAAAAGTTGTCTTTTGGATGGCAAAATCTGGATCAACATATAAAATGGCCGTTTCAAACTATTCTGGGACCATTACAACTTCACACCCGATGTATAGTTTTTGCACAAATGAAGCCTCATTAAATTTGAATACAGAAAAACTCTACAGAGTGATGGTTGCTAATACATTTTATGATTTTGATAGCCGAGAATACCATATGACGCTTAATGAGGAAAAGAAACGTGGAACATATATGATATAAATAATCTAATACACTAATATAATGGTTAAAAAGGATATATTCAATGTCAACCACATTGATAAAACCAAAACGGAAGAAGCGATTGCTCAGATTGAAGAGCTGTATAAATACTATCATTACCGTTTCTGGTGCTATCAAAAGGCGTATAAATATTTCAAAAAAATAAATTTACCAATAAATATGAGTTCAACGGGTTTAATTGTAGTAGGGACCATTGTAGGTAGTGTGACGTTAAACCCGGCTATTCTCGCCAGTATTTTCGGTGCTGGTTTGGCTCTAAAAGCATATTCAGAAACCAAAGACTATAAACGCAAAATTGAGATGAGCAAATATGCCTTCACAACTTACGAGAAAGTGTTGCTCGATCTTAGAACAGCTCTGAGAGGCGGCGCATTCAATAAAGATGATTTCATAAAGGAATTAAACATTCTCGATGACACCATCGTGGATTTCAGTCCTTTAGTGACGAAATTTGAAAAAGAATACGCTAAACAATTCACATCCGGTGAGTGAAGTTTATTTTAAGAAGGGGAATCCCCCGCTATGAACTTCCTGTTTAAAAAATCCAAATCACGCAGCCGCTCACTTGCTTATAATGTCATCTTTAATTAACCCGTAAGCTCGTTTCCACCAAAAATTGTAATAATTTAGTGTCTTCTTTGACTTTGTAAGAGGGATAAACTTGTATTTTACCCCAAAATGACAAATAGCTGCTTTAAAATGAATTTAATACTAACCATCCGTTTCCGGTCTGTGTCAACTTTTCGCGCCACTTTATCAATTAATTCAAATATTCTTAAGATTTTCTTTCTATTATAGTAATCAACTTGTATCCTATTCTTTTGTGCAATATCATTTATAAGATTCCAAATGTGATATTTCCTGTGGTATATAGACTTTTTCCATATCTTATCATAGAAATCCACATATTCTGACTCTGGTTGGTAATCATCATGAACCTGACTGCAATTTATACATACTAAATAATCCTCTCTTTCTAATCTCATATTGGAACCACATGTATGGTTCTCAATATTAATATCACACAATCCTCTCTTCACAAAATGGACATATGGCTTGATTCTCTTCAGTTGATAAAAACAAATGTGCCTTCTCACAATTCATTCTATATACATATTATATGTTAAAAAATTTATCTGACACTGCGCAGAGGGAAAACCCCTTTGGAGGGGACACAAATCACATCCCACATTAAAGAGAATATTGAATTGGACTCCTATAGAAGGCTCATTTTATGTGGTGATAAGATGTACTATGAAAAGGTACCCTGCTCATATAATTCTGTGGGATGATATCAGCTTGTAAACAAAATCTGACGTCACGACACAGCTGTGTCGGTTATTCTCACAATTACAATCCAAATCATCCGATGACATCACGACACAGCTGTGTCGGTCCATAAGTTTCACCATTGTGAAAAGCCTTCTAAAATATTTAAATGACTTATTTCCTCAGGGAAGCCCCTATTTTGTCGTGACCATATGCATAACTGTGGATTCCATCCTCATGTATCCATCTCTTATCATCAAAACAGCTGAGTGACACCTTGTTCAATTGATAGCTGCCTAATTGATTGCATTGACTTCGGATTGTCCGCATGCTGTGTAACATTTGTTTACCGTTCATGAGAACATCTTTATAATTCCCATAATTTATATTCTTCTTTATAACATACTTTCTAACACTCTTGGCTGTCTTTTCATTTTTACCATTGTTTTTCACATAAGAATACATCTTACTTCGGAGCCTGACAAATTCTTCAATAGGCACACTGGCAGCCTCATCTTTCATCTTACCAATTACCTTTTTATTTGTGGCATGATAATACTTACTCTCCTTAGAATAATCACTATTGTCAAACAGTTATCTGTCCTTCCAAAAATCCGCATATGCATCTCTAGTCTCTATCTCATAACATAGGGAATCTGTATCTGTAAACAACAGCTTAGCCTTACTATTGTATTTTTGTCTAACGTAATTATAGTGGACGTCATACATGAGAGTCTTTGACAGATCCAAAATTCACATACCTACGAAGGCAGGCCGGTCAAACATTAACACTTCTTTGATCTTGTGAACCGCCACGAGTTACACATCGAATATTTTACTGTTAACATATGTTGGCTTGCTCGCAAGTTTGGATAACTTCTTCTGATCAGTAACTAGTCTCACATCAACTCACTTACGTAAATTTCCATAGTTTTGCTGAACGCACTGTTGTTCATCAATTTGAAAAAATCTTTCTCCAAACGATTTTTGCCGCCATTCGCTTCTTAGTGTTATAATCGATATACTGTGCTAACCATGGGGACTGATTAAATTCCAAAACCTCTTGTACTTTCTTTAGTTTTAAACCAAGAGATGATATAATTGTTAATTCCTATAGTGCAATACATAGTTCTTTTGATCAGCCAACACTGGTATGAGCTTACTAACTTGTCCGATACTGATGCCAAACTTATCTCTAATCATTTTACAGTATGGAGAGAGCATGTCAGGTGTTACTTTCATCTTTTCCGCCGCTAGAGGATAGTAGTTATGCGCATCATGTAATTCAGTTGGGTATTCCAAGTCTACCTCCAAAATCATGCCCTTTTTTCTGTCAGGTGTAGAAGTTTGGAGCTTGAGTTTACTAATCTGCTTTTGTGTCAAACATTTGAACCCACCTGTTGGTAAGCACTGACTCATCACTCAGCCATATAAGTTGTTAGCGTCTAGATACATGATATACTTGCTTGGTTTACTCAGTATATCCAGTCATATATTTATTGTTAGCTTCCCCATGTCGGTTAGCAATATAAGAAATCCCACCACGCATACCTTTCTCTATGAACTGAAACATATCCACATCAGTCGTCAGTTCTAATTGTACCCCAGTCATCTTGAGCATTGCATCTCATGATAAGCCCAGGCTAGTAAAATAGTGTGCAGGATCTAATTTATAGTACTGTAAACGAGTCTTCCTGAGGTTCTCAAACACATCAGCCAATAAAAGAACATCAGACTTGAGATATAGATCATGGTACCTGCCCATTGTTTTCATATTGAACGTATCCCAAAGTTTTTGAGCATGCTGCTACTGCTCATCAGAGATACCCTAATCTGTTAAAATACTGTAAAAAGCATCTTTGGGAGGCAACTGCTCGTCATCAAACCTCTCAAAACTATCCATGTAATCATATGGATAGACATCTTTCTTTTTCATCAAAGCCAATTTCTCATCCCGAAATGCCCTGGAAGTGTATTTGAATTTATCCTCAAGAAGATTTGCTGCTAGTCTCTCTAAACTGCTTGCCATAAACTGGAAACCATCAAGGAATATCAGATGGTTACCCAACATAAAAGCCATGTAATTTTTCATATTGTTTGGAATACAGTTTATCTCCAAATCATGCTTTTTCCCTATACTCCCAATCTGCTACATGGTAAAAGGAGAGTCATACCCTCAGAGATTATGGAAGATGACTGGGATCTTAAACATCTTCGAATCAACACGCAGTTTCAAATTGCAGTCCTGATGAGCGCTCCCCCTGTGTTTTCCTTTGATGTGGCAATGATCCCTTACCCTTACATCCTTATCACTCTACTTCTGCCCACAAATATGACACTCCTCGGCAGCTTTGAACATTTCCTCGTCTTCATCGCTCATAACTAGTGGCTTATAAATTTACTCTTGATTGTCTTCCGGCAATACTCTACCTCCTTCAGCATCTCCTGCATGAATTTCTTAATAGAGGCCTCTCCTCTATAAATGTTCACTGGCTTAGTACATTTATCATCATAGCAGCACACAACTTTATAACCATAGCGGCATCCTGTGTGCTTCTGATATTTGTCAGTATAACATTTAGTGTTATTAGGTTGGCATCCCTGATCTTTCTCTGTAATGGCAAAATCAGCGTATATAACGAAAGGCACCTGCATCTGCTTGTGGTAATTCTGGAACTGTACTTTGCTTCCTTTCTTCGGCATCTTTATAGCCTGCTTGCCATTGATGACAATGCAGTTGACCTTATGCTTAGTAATCTTAAATTCTGGCTTCCAGTAGAATTTAGGATTCATTTGAAGATTATTATAATTACTTTTAAAGCGATCCATGGACAAGCTCCGGTATATCTACATGAACTCATTAACAAAAGGGAGGAAAAGAGGTACAATTTAAGATCGTGTGCAATGGGAATCATGCTTCAAACGCCAAGAACTTTAACTAAAAAGACATTGGGTGACCGTGCTTTTATAGCTGCGGCACCTAAACTGTGGAATGGGTTACCATCACAAATACGAAATGGGCCCAATTTTCATAGGTTTAAAGTTTTACTTAAGACCCATTTTTTTAGATTAGCTTTTTATTAGAATTTTTCAGGATTATGTATATATTATATTTTTATACATCTATTGTCTTTTTCATATAATATTTTTAGTTATTTTGGATAACTTATTAATGTCGATAATTTACTTTCATGTAATGCGCATTTGATCATATTTACATGTATTTTGCGCAATATAAATATTAAATTATTATTATGAAGAATTTCCTCTGTGCTAAAACATTGAAGACAGTGCATGCAAAAATGTTTTCTCTCCTTATGCCTGGTCTTATTATACATCAGGTGGTTAAAATCCTTAATTAGTACATAATGATTCTTCTCACCCTCAGTTATTTGCAATAGGTTCAAAACATCTTCATTACACTCTTTGGATACATAGATAGGGTAAAACTGTTTATCCTCGTACCTGAAAACATTTACATTAATGCTGTGCTGCTCCTCTATTTTACCACAATGTTTAGCACTAACAGGAAACTCCACACCAGCATAATCCAAATCTAGTACCACATTTCTACACAATTTTTTGATCCTTTGGGGGTCTTTCTCTTGTGGATTCAAAAATCTAGCATGGCACCAGCGGAAACACTCATTATCCTCATTTTTTATGTTAACCAAACCCTTTGTATGATGTTGGAGCTCTACTGGTAGTAATATATGAGAGGATCCCTTGTACGTTGGTTCATACACAGCAATATTAATATAATGCCCATCGATTCTTTCTATCGTCCAGCCACTACCTTCTGATAACCAAACACCAATCCCATTCAATAATTGCTGCTGTGATAATTCCAAACTTGGTAAAAAAAATCATTTGGGTTAACTACAATTTGTGCCCTACTATTAAAATATATTGGTTCTGAATATAAAATCCCACCATCCTTCATCTTATTAAAAATAACCACAGCGGTCTCCACAAATTTAAAACCTTTCATGTTGTTTAACATAGTCATAAACAATCTACTTATTACCAGCCTTGTATTTTGTAACTCCATCAAGGCATCTCTATTAAACCTAAGCTCTATCTCATATGATTTGGTATAACCGTTCAAAGCCCTCCTTTTTTCAGTAATTACTGTCCTAGGGGCTGGTACTGGTTGCTGTCTCCTCGTTGTGGGAGCCGGAATAGTCTATATTGTGAAACAGGGACTTGGGTCATTCTTCTTGGAGTGGGAATAGGGCGTCTTGCTTCTCCACCTCTCATTTGATCAGAGGGGATATGGCGTCTTGCTTCTTCTCGCATTCTGACTAAATTTTGGAGTTCACTCGTTGTGATCCCCGATAATAATCGTCTCATTAGTTCATTGCAATTTGTTCTCATATTATTACTATATTTTATTTTTTTCATATCTGCACTCATCGGCATACTAGTATAAAGTAACAAACGTTTAAATAGGAATAGGTACCCCCTATCAGCACCCTCACGCTGGCCATAAAAATGCTCCAAATGAGGGCTAAACGAGGCATAAATACCCCTCTAAATGGGGTCCAAACGAGGCCACTATATGCTTCAAATAAAAAAATGGCCCCATACCCCAAAAAACCTTCCCAAGGTCAACTTCTGGGAATCCCAAGGTCAAATTCCTGGAATTCCCAAGGTTAAATGCCGAAAAAATGCTGACGTCAGCAAAATCCTGGGTTCAAACCCAGAATATGGAAAATGCCTCTATACCCCTATGTACCTAACTACTTAATTTTAATTTAATCTTAATTTATTCCATTTTCACTGCATTAGTTGAAACAAAGGTGTCACACATAAAACATATACATATGTATATATAAAGAAAACTTAGCTAAATTACATAAGAGAACAATTAACTACATACTAGAAAAAAAAAAAGAAAAAAATTACTGCAGTGGGGAAGGACTAGAAGGGAACATACGAACCATTCGAGCTAGTCCACCCAAAAACTACAACAGACACTTAAATAAGGAAAAAGAATCAATCACTACATCCAAGTGACATGCGGGTGGTCAGGGTCGAAGTTCTTCTTTTTATAGAACTCATTACACTGTTTTTTAAAGAATCTCACCCACCCAGTTTGCATTGCGCGCTCACGCTCAACTCACGCTCTTCATTCGCCATTTTCAGGGCCCCCGAAAATCCGAGTTTTATAACCTTGATATTCCATCCTTTCTTTCGATAATTTATAGGCGTTATTAAGGTCCTGTTTCCTCTAGAATTACTTCTATAGTTTCGGAACTATCTTTGTGATTCACATTTGTGGAAGAAAATTCTTTCCAAGCGCACTGTGTACTTAGTTTTCTGTCGCGTTTCGTTGAAACGTCGGCCAATATGGCGGATAGCCGTCCTGCTAGGGGCCGTCCAAGAAGACCAGAAGGCATCAAACGCCTAAAACTCAGGGAATCTACATACAATCTGTGGATTGAACGGAAGGAGGCCCTTGGGCTACACGGAATTACAAATAATGATTTCGCGGAGATGCTTCTTCACCAGCAACTTATACGAGAGCGTGATCGATCTCCTCACGCTCATCCAGATGATACTTCACCTCAAGTGCATCAAGGTAAAATATTGAATAATTTTTCAAAAAACACTTTTTTTTTATTATGCCATTATAGCAGTTTTAGTATTTCGCTATTTTTTTTTTTATACATTGCGCATTCTTTCGTATTTTTTGGTAGGAAGAAGGCAGCTATTCCTCCAGTCGACCCCGATGGGTAAAGAAATCAGGACTGAGAATATCACAGTTTCCCCTTTATCCTTTGCTGGTGCTGCAGAAAACTCAAGTTTGAGCAAGTGAGTACGTTTAATTTAGCGTAGAGTCTACAATCGGTTTGTTGTGTTAAAAGGGTAGGCTTGGAAACCTTGTACTAATATCATACAACAATAATGAGTTTCTTCATTGCTTCGTTCATGTTTTCTTGTATTTAGGATTGAAGTTGATGAGCTAGAGACAGACCAACTGACTGGGCACAGGACTCTTGTGGATGAGCTTTCTGATTGGAATCCCCTGTTTTCCTCTCTAGAGGGCAATCCTCATTCAGAGGCAGAGACTATGAGTGAAGTGGAGTAAGTGTGTCTATTTCTCTTTGCATTTCTCGAGACAATTTTTTTTGCTGAGATAAATACTCCCACTCTTATATCAGTTCATAGTTAAGCTGCTTAGCATCTGCTTTCGCCCTTGCTACCATTATAATTTTTTAAGATAGACCATACCAATGTCTGTATCCTGAAAAGGGGGTGGGCAATCAGATATAATAATGTTAGGGATGGGCAAAACTATTTTAAATCTGAATATATTTGTGATCCTAAGACCCTCTTTGGGTTTTGGAATTTTGCAGTGTAGTGGCCTTCTTTTACCGCACAGAATGGAATTTTATGCAGAAAAAACAACGTTACTTGAATCAGCATTTTCACATCCTGTTACTATTACAAATTTTTATCACAGAAAGTGCTGTTGTACTGTTCAGTGCATTAGCAATATTTTATTTTATTAGCTTCACCTATTACATGACACACAGCGAGCAAAACAAAGCTGAATAAGTAAGCATTCATTATTAGGCAAAGATTCCACAACACAAATAAGCCAATTACATTGGTCCCAGAGTTTAAGAACAACAAAGAAGCTTCATTTTATTAAAAACAACAACAAAGATGGAAAGACACATTACATGAAACATTACATGATGGATAGATGGTAATAATGGTGAATTTGTCATTTCAGGTCTGGTGATCATGCTTCTAATGCTAGTGACTCTGAGACTGCAGTGGACAACAGTGATCAGTTCAGTGAGTCTGATGATGGCAATAGGAGTGAAGAAGAAATAACTTTTGAAAATATAGAAGTCGATCAAACAAGGTAAAGAATGACGTGTACTTGTTTATTTTGCCATGGCAATTTGGAAAAGAGTACTTATAAACACTAACCCAATTTTAGTATTTTGAAAAGATTTTTTAAATGTTTATTAGGTCGGAATGTTGAATTTATGATGATATGTTTATGTTATGTTTCTGTTATTTTTACAGCTTTTTGTCCGAACTTGACAGCGCCACATTGACAGCCCTGGACATTGATCTTGAAATGGAAAGTGCCCCCGAAGCAGTAGGAGCGCAGGCCCAGACAGAGGGTGAGCCCACAGGTCCAGCAGAGGTGCAGACAGAAGGTGAAACATGCAGTGAGTCATCACCAATCCTTCCTGTCTTTGGCCCAATGACTTTGGATGAGACCATCAAGGATATGAAATCCAGGATAAAGCCTGCAATTGAAGGACTGGCAGTACCTGGGGAACACCTGAATAGGTATCTTGAGTTGTTGAAGGCGGACAGGGTTATTGTGGAGGTGGAAAAGATTGTAGAGTTGCTGGAAGGAAATTGTCCAGAAATTGGGTGTACAGGTCAACGAAAAGTCATAAGTAAAAAATTGGAGGGTGGTGTGTTGCTGATAACACACAAGTGTAGTAATGGTCATGGTAGTGTGTGGAGTTCTTCATCTATTTTGGGTGAAAAACGTGGCCAAAAAATGTACGTGTCATCTGTGTTGTTGGCCTCATCAGTTCTGGTGTCAGGAAACAACTTTGAGAAAGTTGCTCTGCTAGCAAAGAGCATGAATTTGAATTTTGTTTCGTCTTCCACATTCTCAAGGGTTCAGAGTTTATATGCTGTACCCAGCATCAGGGACATGTGGGATAAAATGAAGGAAGTGGTTTGGAAGGTTTTTGAGAACGATGTCATTTCAGGTCTGGTGATCTGGTGATCTAAGTACTGTGTGTATACAATGATGGAGCACTACCTTAATGTCATTGTGGATCTTGAGGTGGTTGACAAACGAGAAGCAGGTGGTACGTCCTCTTTAATGGAGAAGATGGGGTGTAAGCGACTTTTGGAGAGGATGATGAATAGCCTCAAGCTTGGAGAGGTTGTGACGGATGCATCACGAGTCATCATGAAAATGGTCAGGGAACTTAAAGGTATTTTTAAGTTTTTATTTTTAATTTTTCCCGGGGCATCTTTTTTTCTGTAACAAGTTGGATGTGTTAATACCAAATTCAAATCAACCAACCTATTCCAACATACAATACTACCATTGTTAGTTATGAAATAGTAAAACTGCTTTTTCTAATAAATTTACTCTGCTTAAAGGCTAGTTTACAGAGTGGAATGACAGATTTCCCTTATAGTTTTTTTCTGGTTTCTGAATTCATGACAAATTTATTATCTTTTCACAGTTAAATTTGTCCTATGTTAACACATTTCTAATTTGTTTATTATCATTTTTGCAGAAGCAAATTGTGAAGTGCTTGGAAACCTTTTCCACTCCCTTGACATCTGGCATAAATCTATAAAGCTGACTGCCAAGATAACCACTGTATGTAGATTCTGATTTATTACTTGTACATAATCCCTCAGAACTGATTTAGTCCATTTTGTGTTGTGCTTAACTATATTTTGTATTCCTATCTCTTAATATTTCAACAGACTTGACTGCCAATGTGCTTCCTTTTTTATAGGCTGGGAAGATTAAGGGCTGTGAACAACTGTTACAGTGGGTTGAACCTGTGAGGAACCATTTCTGGCATTGTGCAGAAACTTGTGATGGAGATGTTGAAGAGCTGAAGGTATAAGTCTTACAATTATTTGTTTGACTGTTTGAAACTGGATTGCTCCTGGTGACATTTAAAATCAAAACAATTTTTATGATTTATTAAGGATATGTGGCTGGAAATCCTACATCATGTTTGTGGAGAGCATGAGTGGGATGGCGGGATGTGTTCCCATGGACCACTCACAGAAATAGAAGGTGGAAAAGAATACCTCCCTATGACTTCCAAGGCTGCCAAGGAACTCCGAAAGATTGTTTTAGACCGGGAGTGGCTGAAAAGTCGAGAGCATTATGTCAGGTTCAGGTATGTATTTTTTAGGATCTCTGTGGTTTTAATCACTCTTTCTTGAAACTCTATCAGTTGTGTCCTCAACCAGCTACAATGTTTATAACAACTTACACTTTATTTGGACTGAGGCAATAAAAATTAATTTTTTACCCATTTTCCTGTTGCCCTTAACTTTTTCTTCCTAGAGGTTTTTTAGTTACTGGAGAGGTGCATAACAAAGGCCAAATATGATCTCTGACCTTTTGTCAAATTTCCCTCTCTTGCTAAAATATTGTAAGCAAGTTGAAATTATTTTCAAGCTTTGAACTAGTAGGTTTTGTGGGGGCTAGATGGACAGGACTTACAGGGAATCTGGATGGTCTTTACTTAGTTAAATCATTTTTTTAGGCATACAAGCAATTTGGAAAACTTCAATTCCATGCTTCTAAAGTATGCACCAAAGAGGATTGCCTTTGCGTAAGTACATTTCACTATTAATAATAGACAGTGCATGCTTTACCAGACAATATTAAATGGTGACATTTTCAGATGCTATTGCCCTCCTTAAGAGCGGTTTTCTGTAAGGACCGACTAAGGGTATGCAAGATAGAAAAATCCGATTTTCCCAAACTTTGCCAGAAAGAAGGCCTTGGTGAACTGTTTCTAAAAATACAACTTTCGGGTCGTTTGGGGTTTTACTTATTTTTTAATGAATTTCTTAAATTTTGGCCGTTAACGCCGGCTTTAATCACGTCGAAATATGCACTTTTGCAGAAGCTCCCATTAATACCTTGAAACCTTTCTTTAAAAGATTAACCAAGCAAATCAAACTATCTTCTTTCGTCAGATTATCGGTGTCGTCAAATGCAAATAAAATGTAAACGTGAAAATTTGACAGATTTTCTAATTTTACATCTTTCAATGGTGATTACAACAACAGTATTTTGGCTAAATTCAAGGCCTAAAAAAGCACTCTGGTACATCGCTTTGACCAACAAAACTATACTACGAGGAAACATTATCATTTCAACTAAACATCGATGAAAAAAAAAATTGGGGTAAATGAAACGACGAGTTCTGAGAGCGATTTGAAAACAGGTCATTTTATCAATTATGAGTGACCTTTGACCTTTAATATTCATGGAAATAAACGCCATTGAGCTCTGACTTTTGTTTGCGTGATGACGTTTTTTTGGCTCTACCAGTTTGTTTTTACTTAGAAATACTTGCCTTTTAAATTTTGAGCCATGCAATTAATTTGGAATAGTAAAATTGGAAATTAGAGACAGTTTGCTCTGACATGTCAGTTTTGTCTACCGCCGACTCTGTAATACCAGTCTATTGATACAACACAAATGCGGCAACAAATGCGAGGTAAATCAATGTGCGAGGTACTTGACTAATATGTCTTATCTCAGCGATGCTTTCTTGGATAGAAAGAACCGCATTCATGGAAGTTCCTGACAAAAATCGCCGAGCGCATATATCACCTGAGCCGAGCCGAGCGCATATATCACCGTGCAACATGACCAAGTATTGAATGCCACAGGACACCCAGGATTGGATATGGTCGCGGAGAGGTCGGTGCATCTTTGGTAGTTCAATTTTTTTTTGTTTTGGACTGATAAATAAAATCTTTTTTCCTGGATTATTGAGTTGTTCTCCGTTAATTGAGAAGAGCCCGCATTCTGAAGAGGCAGCACTGGCTTACTTCTTTGTCTTTAATTGCACCTGTTAATTTGTACAGTGCAGTTTATTCATTGACTTCATTCAATCATTGTGTACTTGCAAATGGCTTCGTGTGACTATGGGCAGATTGCAGGAGGAACATGTGGTTCTAGTGTGGACAATCCAGAAAATGTGAAGAGCGTGATCCTCGCGAAGTGTACAAAAGCCATACAAGGGCATCTACGTTCTTGCAACATTCAAGACGCTAGTTTAGACTCTGAACTAAAGCTGTTGTTGGCACGTGCAGGTACGTAAGGTAGATGTCTGTATTAAACAGGCCATCTTTAAAAAAAAAAACAAGAAAGAATAGACGCATAATTTAAAGAAAGGAAAATAAACGCCTCCCAATCTTTTTACATCAAGAAGAATCGGTGTGAGACTAAAACTAAATGTAATTTAGCTGCATCGTGGTCTGATTCAGACTGTTTTTATATTTTGAAAGGTGTCCGCAAATTTATCGAAGCACACTAGTTTTCGTACGTCTGCAGCCTGTATATTTCAATTATTGTCCATAATTTACACACTAAATAAAACTGGACGATGTTCAAGGTTTAGTTACAAGGGTAACGCGGAAAATGACTTGAAAGGAAGGCTTAATGAAGCGTGACGCTCAGCACCTTCTTTGATTGATTCGTGTACTTCTCATTTTACTGCATTTCATATACAATTTTTACTCCGCTAATTAAGGGCCATGATTGCAACTTACAACGCTAAAATATTTTTAGACATACTCCTAAAACACATAGCGTGTTATTCAAGAATGAATTTTACTGACAAAGATATGAGTGATAATTAACCCGTGCAGTAGCCGACTTAATCAAATTAAGATCAATATCAGAACATCTGAGCTCAGCCAAAATGCAAAAGTTAAAGCCTCCGTGTTTCTCAGTAAACACGCAAAATTTAGACTTATTCCTGATCATTAATACTTCAATGCGATGAGAATTTTATTTTTAAAAAAATTATTAATGTTGTCTACATTTATAAACCATCTCAGATTTATCGCGAGCATTACAGCCTTGTTTGTTTCACAGGAACTTTACAAAAGTGAGGAACAAAAACTGCTTTTGGGATGACTGGACGTCCAAAGAAAAATTAAAATAAAGCTTTTGATTTATCTTTTGGTGCATAAATTAACGATAAACGTGGAAGAAGCGAATAAAATGTGAACGACGCTGCGATATATACGCTAAAAATTGTTAAGTAAAAGGCACCTTACAACCTTTTTTATCTTTGAAGGAATTTTTGAGTTAAACGAAAGTCACCTTGAACTAACAATATGCCCAAGACATCAAGACGAATTTGGCATTAGATGGCGTTCAAATAAGATGATATGCCCTGCTCCCAGTGAATGGTCATCGCATGGAACTTTAGTGTCAGGGGAGAGAGGAATATCATCTCTACATTCCAAGCTACTCTACCAGCAAACCCAAGTGTTGCTTCCTGTAGGCTCCCGTGAGTGTTAAACCTGTAGTGATATTTTACAACATTGCCAGGTTTAGAGCGTAAAAAAATGGCAGTTTCAATTTCCTCCACTGCCATTTTTTGTATTTTAAATTCATAATCGGATATACCCCCGCCCCCTAAAATCTTTAAATCAAGAAACGTGTTACCGAACAGTTTCAACACATAGCTGCAATATTTCAAAAACGAAGAGCATCATGAGCAAAAACAGAAGCTATAAGAGTTTGACACAGATTTTCTGAGTAATGTTCTGCAATCCACTATTTTTCTCAGAAATCTGCAAGCAGTGCAGGAGAAAGTTGGAAGAAGCATCACAGTTATTAGTATTTCCCAGCTCAGAATCGACCACAGAAGCTTTAGGATCTAACGTAGACAAACCGGAAGAGCGGATATCACAAAACATCCCACAGGTAGATAGAGCTATTTGGTATAGCTATGGCATGAACATAACAGATTATAACCTTGTCCGAGTGGCTTTTAATAGTTTAGTGAGGTTCAGCAAAAGGTGAGTTTTCCTCCCCTCCACTTTTGATGACCCCAGCCTCCCTGCATACTACTCCTTTATATCATGTATCGATGCGAGAACACTTACATATCATTGCAGTGGTGATATGTGCGCGGTTAAAAAAGTCATTTGCTCTACAGCGGCGACATCGAGTTTATAAATTTTTCTGCGCTAACTAGTTCATTTTCCTTTCTAACGCGTACAGAGAAAAGATGTGGAGATTAAAGAAGTTGAAGACAACGTTAGCCAGTCAATGCACCACCTGACCATAAGAGACGAATACTCTCATCCACAGCTTGACAAATCAGGACACTACTCCGAGATCCACACTAGCGTGTATCAAACGGACTCTCAAGCGAGCAGCGGCAGCGAGAGTTCTAACGGCGATGATCCACAAATTATAAGTCAAGCAACAAGACGTTCCTGTTGAACGATTTCTTACGTTCATGTAATGCTCACACAGTCGGGTCATACAAAAAGTGATGGCAGGCAGCCAGCGAACGTACTAGAGCAAGCCATGTGTCAAAGGCGAAGTCAGTTATTGTTTCTGGCCTTAACGTTATTGTTCCAGGAGACGCAGGCTACCTCTGGGAAGCCGTGAAAAAATCTGGCTCAGTCGAGAAGGTACTTGGCATCGGTGAACGACAAGAAGACCGAAAATATCTAAAGGCACTGGCGGAGTCTTACCAAAACGCATCTACTTGGGAAACAAGGCGTCAGATATTATCAATCATGGCAGACCTAATAACGTTTAAGCGTATCCTAAACTACATTCCAGGGATCACCGAATACCGGTTCAAAATGGCGAGACAGCACTCTCTTCAATATGGGCGGGGTGCCTTGCCAGCCCGAACAAAAAGTCCTAGGATGAGAGTAGATAATAAACAGTTGGATCACTTTTTGACTTACATAACTAGCCCGCACGTTATCCAGGATCTTCCTTTTGGGCAGCGATATCTCCGCCTATCTTCTGGAAAGATATTAGAAACCCCAAATGTCATTAGGGCGATGATCCCTAACAGGCTAGTAAAGCAGTACCAGGCTTCTTATTGCGAGGAGACGAATTTCACTCCATTCAGCCCAACAACAATGTTAAGAGTCCTGTCTGCCTGCAGGGCGACCGTAAGGAAGTCCTTGCAAGGGCTCGACTACATTGCTTCGGATCGCGCGAAAGGGTTTAAAGCTTTGTGTGGAATAGTGGACCAACTGAAAGAGAGAGGTCTGGACAGAGAGACTGCCAAAAAATGGGAAGTGTCTCTGAGGGAAGGCAAGCATTATCTGAAGGCTGATTATAAGGTATCAGATACGGTTTAAAACATGGTTAACTGAAAGTAAACCGTAATATATAACGAACTGCCACGAGACTGGCAAAATGGCAAAAACTGTTAACTTTGTCGTGAGGGCTTATTTAAATCAGGTGGGTTCTTTTCCAAACTAATTATACTATTGTTGGGCAAGAGAACACCGCTCTCTATACTGGCGACCGTCTTCGCCTTGCTAGGTGTGTACTTTATTCTACCAAGATTCATATTTTCTAATTGCTTTAACCAAACTTGGCAAAAATATTGCGGGTACAATAGATGAAAGCTCAGAAACTTCAAACGGTCACTAAATTTACTACTTTGTCTTTTTTGAAGGTTCATGTATCCGAGTCCTCCTCGGTTGCAGACCACTGCAGCGGATACGCTCTCAGCGATAGTAAGGACGATGAACTAAGATCCCAATGCTCTCATAATCATGACATTCAGTGTTCACAGTGTGAAAGTCTCAGTAATGTTCTTTTTTCAATTAAAACATTCGTGACTGAGTCAACGTTTGTACCTGAAGAACTAGAAGACGTCTTGTACACGCATAGTCATGCAGTCCAGGCAATCCACCCCTGGAAAGCACATCAACTCAGGTGTGTCAGGCAAGATACAGCAAGGATGGCGTGCTTAAGCGCTTTAGATGAGACCTCTGTACTTATAACACAAGATTGGGCTATGAAGTTTTTACCGCTCAAATATAGAGAAAACCAATCAGATTGGTACGGGAAACGAGGAATATCGTGGCATATAAGTGTCATCGCAAGAAAAATGAGAGGGCTTTTAGAAAGTCAGTCCTTCGTCCACATAGTTGAGAATACATCACAAGACAGCTCAGTTGTAGTGCGAATTATTGAGGACACCTTAAGGTCGCTGAAAGAGGAGAATCCTAGAATCAACAGTGCCTTTCTACGGCAAGATAACGCGGGATGTTATCACAGTTCTGCTGTAATAGCATCATGCACCCTAATGAAGGCAAATACTGGGATAGACGTTTGCAGAGTAGATTTCAGTGACCCTCAAGGAGGCAAGGAGGCAAGGGGGCTTGTGACCGAAAAGCCGCCACTATCAAGGCCCATGTCCGCAGGTATGTAAATGAGGGCCACGACGTGCAAGATGCTGAACAGCTTCAAACAGCTATCCTGTCTAATGGCGGTGTCACCGGGGTTCGCGTTACTGTTGTTAATGCTGCCGTTTCTGCCTGTGAACTGCCTCAAGTCAAACTTGATGGCATCAGCTCGTTAAACAACTTTGAGTACTGCAAAGACCAGTTGACAGTTTGGAGAGCTTTCAACGTCGGAAATGGAAGGGAGATCAGCCAAACGAAAGTTCAAGGTAAAAAAAAAATACGGGCATAGTGATATGTAAATGTACTGTATTGGAGTGTTGCAAATACTCAGTGACTTAGCCAGCTAATAATTACGGATAACGGGCAATATTAACAGAGTGTAAGAGAGTCTATACTAATGGCTACTATGGACAACTCAGTCAGTTGTGTACATGATAAATTAACAAACCTTTAAAAGACGCGAAAAACGTTTCATCTAAAATTAAAAGACTTCCATTTCAATGTTCGCTTTTTTACTTGCTGATTTTCCCCTGGTGACTTTGTAAAAGCATCCAAGGAAGCCTCAAAGAAGCCAAGACCCAATGAAACGATGACAGTAGAAGAAGCGAAAGACGCTTCTGTCTTGTTCTCCTGCCCAAATGAAGGTTGCATCAAGGTATACGAGAGTTACTCGAGTCTCGAAAGGCATATGTCGTTTGGCAAATGCAAGTTGATTCCGGAGAAAGGGACTTTGCTGGACAGGGCTAAATTAACGTACCACACTATCCTTCAGAACGATATTGGCATTGCAAAAGTATTTGAAGGAAGGGAAACGGAGAAGAAGCACGGTGTCAGTTTACCTGAGGGTTGGGCGTTGAAAACTGCAAAGAAGTCGTCACGGTTTAACGAATCACAAAGAAAGTACCTGGAGGAAAAATTTGAGCTTGGACAGCAAACAGGCCACAAACAAAACCCTGAGAAAGTGGCGAGAGATACGCGTTTTGCAAAAAAAGCAGATGGTTCGAGGCTGTTCTCGAGTGATGAGTTTCTTACCTCGCAGCAGATACAGTCTTTCTTTTCAAGATTATCGTGCAAGTTGCGTCACGCTGTAGAGGTTAGCGACTCAGATTTACAAGCTTCTCAGGATGAACAAGAGTTTTGCGACACCCGCCAGACTGTGTTAGAGGAAGTACAGCTAGAACATCCCATCGCTTATGACAACCTAAACCTTTGCGAATTGACCAAGAAAGGTAACATGAAAACACTCAGCATTGCAATGCTGAAGAACATATCATATTTTGATATCTGCACGGAAGAATTTAACCCAAGGCGCAAGGCATAGTACCTTGCCGCGTTAGGGGATCTTGTAAAGGGGTGCGGCTGTAACGCCTAAAAGTCAAATTACTGTTAACAGTTTGGATAACAGTTGTCAGGAGGGGCCGCATCTCGTTTTGCGCGATGGTTGGAAAAAAAGTGTCCCACCTAGTTTATTTTAGCTCGTCAGATTCATCACGTATAGAAAAGCTTCAGTTCCAGTTTTTTTTATTTACACGCTGACGTCTTTCTAAGCTTGTACCTACTGGTGACGTTATACTTTTGCGCATTCCTAATTTTGCGCAATCCCACCTCCCCCATCGCTCCGCGGACCGTGTCGTCGGATTTTAAAATCTATAGTTTTCTTCGAAAATAATTGTATTATTACAATTACTACTTCTAAGTAAAGCGATAACTTGACTCGTATTATAATCACTTAAACTGACGATGTTTATACGTAGAATTAACGGGAAGCGTTATTATCGTATAAGACTAAGAGCAGATGTGACAGAAACATTATTAATTTAACGAGCGCTTCCTAAATCTGCGCTCATCTACCCGATGTTATATTTTCCCTTCATTCTTACAGGATTTTTCTGGCAACGAAAGAAAGGAATCGATCCATACAAGTTTTGTTTTAGTTTGTGGGTCCGTAACCGTGGGGTTACTCGACCAATACTAGGGTATATGTGAGCCGCTGAGGATCTAAAATCCTGACCCTGTTTAGGAGAAACAAATTGCAAAATACATGTTTATGATATACCCTGTTTAGAACAGAGAGTTCAAAAATCACCCCCGGGGTCCGTTATTACTGCGCGTCATTTTTACCTTGAGTCCCATGGACCTTACCCAACACTATTCAGGGTAAGTACGATTATTTAGGAATTATCCTAACACTTAAGTATCTATTATAGAAATATTCCCATGCCTTTTGTCAGTATAGTACAAAACACCCAGTGTTGCTAAAAACATAATGAGACTTGCGGTTCCGGAATACACTTTACTGGGTTTGCTGTGGCGTTTCATGGTCAATTGTTTTTATGCAAATTGTGTTAGCGCCCGAGTTCAATGATCTCTGCGTACTTTTCTAATGAGTGCTGTGCTTTCGATCCAGGAAAAGATCTGTAAGGTAGGAAGTATTTATAAGCAATTGGTGAATTGACTAACCTTGTAGCTGATCACCTATTTGTGTTGTAAGTACAAAGACAATCAATTTCTAATTCACCCGTAAACAAACCGCAAACGCCTGAGCAAACTCATATTTTGACTTTCCAAATTCTCGTTTTTAGGGAATACAGTACCACAAATTGAAAAGACCAGTATCCTTAATTGGTAATATGCTAGAAATGAGGAAATAGGCTTCATCATGCAAGGGAAAATCAGAGCTAAAGAGCTCTGGGTTTCTATTTCCACTGATTTGGAACCGTTCCAAGTTCAAAAGGTCGCTCAAAAATGGCCCAGGTAACCCATTTTGAAAACGCTCTCAGGACTCGCCGTTTCATTTACCCCAATTTTTTTTTTCATCGATGTTTAGTTGAAATGATAATGTTTCCTCGTAGTATAGTTTTGTTGGTCAAAGCGATGTACCAGAGCGCTTTTTTAGGCCTTGAATTTAGCCAAAATACTGTTGTTGTAATCACCATTGAAAGGTGTAAAATTAGAAAATCCGTCAAATTTTCACGTTTACATTTTATTTGCATTTGACGACACCGATAATCTGAGAAAAGACGATAGTTTGATTTGCTTGGATAATCTTTTTATGAAAGGTTTCAAAGTATTAATGGCAGCTTCTGCAAAAGTGCATATTTCGGCGTGATTAAAGCCGGCGTTAACGGCCAAAATTTAAAAAATTCACTAAAAAATAAGTAAAATCCCCAAACGACCCGAAAGTTATATTTTCAGAAACAGTTCATCAAGGCCTTCTTTCTGGCAAAGTTTGGGAAAATCGGATTTTTCTATCTTGCATACCCTTAGTCGGTCCTTACAGAAAACCGCTCTTAAGTATTAATAAATGGGTTGTAATATCATGTTTTAGGTATGAAGTTTTTACTGGACGGATTTTGCTCGCAGCTCTTGACCACAATTTTCATGTTTTCCGAAAGACACTGGAAGGCCGGTTTAAGAAAATTTATTCTAAAAGATCAGGTAACTGGAGGCGGTGGAACCGGTGAAGGAGTCAAAGCAATATCCTCACATGTCTCTGCTCCAGGCAGACATCTTAAGACGCCGCAGTGAAGACACAGAAGCTGTTACCAGACACATTGAAGTTTCCCCTGCAAATCCTGTCCATCTGGCTCCAACAATAGCCATGAAAAGGGCCCCTTCGACTCAGGAGCTGGTCAAAGCCAAATTATCACGATTTCAAATGGAAAAGAAATCACAATAGGTGCCAAAGAACTCTGCATCAGTAAAAATGCAATCTTTGAAATTACTTTGAAATGGTGTGTGGAAAAAGAAACTAGATTACATGTAATCTTGAAATACTGCTTAATTCCCCTTTGTTTTACAAGGAAATGTAGGGAAATTTAGAATAAGCGGTAACAAATTTAACAAAACCCACACTACAGCTTCCTTTGTTGCACACACTCTTTTTCAGTTTTCAAACCAGTTAGAATAAATAAATAGATACATTATTTATTTATGACAATAATTATTGTTATTGTCAGTGGTTGCAAATTTACCCACAGTTCTTCATCTAAAATATTGAAGGTAAACTGGTAATGTAAAGAAGCAGGTTTTTAAGGGATAATCCACAAAGAACAAAGCCTCTCATATAGAGCGCTTTTCAATTGAGTGTCGAAAACCAAAATCAAAGTAATCACAACGGCCATTCAGAGTAAAGGAAATTATCAGAGGGAGCCAATGACAACTCGAAGTAAACTCGTGTAACCAGTCTGTAGCGCGGGAAAACGCGAGTGACCAAGGGGCGATTGGTTTTAGTTTACATCTGATTGGCTGAGAGGGTGGCGCGAGTTTTCTAGACCAATCAAACAGCACAGTAAAGCAAAACCAATTCAATCCTGGATTACTTTCAACACTCAATTGAAAATTGCTCTAACTGCGTACCTCTGTGATTGGAACCCCAACCTTATTGGTGGTATGTGAGAGCTCTAATCACTACTTTGTCCTTGCTTCCCATTAGGAGTCAGATTATCAGCATTGGGTTTGAATATAGTAATTTTAGATGAATATAGTTTTGAACATGAGAACCAGACATCAACTTTGGGAATTGTATCATGTTACATCATATTTAATTTGAGCATAATTAAAAGAAAGAAATGGGCTATAAATACTGTTGTGACATTTCTGGTTGTTACGATTCAACAGAAAAAAATTTCTAAAGAGAAATTTAAAAGCATTTTTTGTCAGTAAATAATAAACAAGTAAACATTTCTATAAAACTACATGTTGTCTTTCTTTACATAGTTTGGATTTCTCCATTTGTAGTAGTACACCTCTGTAAGGCAGACACTTGGTCCTTGAGTCACACTCCCTTTATTTGACTGACTAGAAGACAGACAATACTCATTGAGAAACAGTTATTGCTGGTCCCAAAAGTGTCCAGCTTAGAGTGTTGAATGTATAATAAACAAGAACAGTGAAGAAATAGAACATAACTGCACTTCTCTACTTATTTGTATCAATAACAATAAAGGTATTTTGCCCCATGTGAGGGAATCAGGACAGTCTGGGATTCTGGAATCCACAATGGATTCCAGCATTTGTTATTAGAACTTGGATTCTGGATTTCAATCATTAGTGGGATTGTGGATTTCTTCAGTTGTATTCTGGATGCCAAAACCCAGGATTTCTGATTCCACGATCAAAAATTTTCTGTATTCCGGAATCCGGATTCCCTTTCATGGCGCAAGATATTTCATTTTTCTAACGCTAAGAATGGCGAAAACCCATGTAATTACCGTCTGGTGCGGGATATGCTCGACGAATAACTATTACTACACAAGAAGGCAATATTTTTCGATTCCCTCTACCAAGTTTACCAAATTTCCACAATGTGTATTGCCGGTAAGCGGCCTTCCTGTAACTTTGAGTAGAGTAATCGGGTTCGTCCGCGCGGATGTCGCACCTGGCTCTTATAGCTAATTGCAGGACTTCCCGATCGAGGCAAACCGTGTTAAACATGACATAAGAAGTTACACATGTCCTCTTTTTGCAACAGACGTTTTCCTGTTCATCCGGCATTCTCCTGCAGACACCACAAGTACACCAAGTTTCAGGTATATTTTCCTCTGGTGGAGGCGATGGCGGGTCAATGTCATCGCTTCCGGTTAGCATGTTTCTAGCAAATTCAAGGCTACCGCGTCCTTGACTCAGCAGCCTAATAAGAAGCTGGTCTTTATCGTCAGAAGATAGTTTGGTCACAAACTCCTACAAACAGAAAAGAGAAAGGCGAGGCTTAAATAAAAATATAACTAAGCTTATGTGTATAATACGGGGGATGCGCCGAGTCTGGAATAATTTGCATACATGATCCAGGTAAGTAAACTGACTTGAATAGAATTTTATAACCTCGTAAACAAACCTTTATTTCGCGCTGAGAGTCCTCTACAGCTTGCCTGTGGCGGGCAAAAGCACTCGGATTTCCGATCTCCTGACCTTCCGCGACCTGGTTTTTGCAAGGTGCTTTCTTTGTACCACACTTGCAATTTGTAGAACATTTTAGGTTCGCGTTTTGGCACGGACAGCCTGCGTATCTTGCACTTTTCTTGCGGCTGCAAGTATTTTTACAAGTGCAAACCTACAGCGAATAGAGCTGAAGTTAGTCACAGCAGTAACAACGGGTAACTGAAGCGACACAAATACAAAATTTTTAGTTTGACCGGATTCTTACCACGCGATTGCTGTCGGCGTCGCTGGTACTTGGCGCAGCGACTGCGCCGGTAACGGTGGTTTCACGGCTATGAGCCCTGTTTACGGTTCTAATCGGCGATCCATACGCGTTGACCTCAACTTCCTCATCAGAAAGGTCGCTTTCTGAAAAATCACGCTCACTGTCTCCTTCAATTTCCATAACAAATGTGACCTTTCACGCTTGTCTGGACCTGGTTTATCTTTGACCAAATATGGGAGCGTTATAATCATATCCCGGATAACAACAACAACAAAGGCGCGCAATGCAAACTGGGTGGGTGAGATTCTTTAAATAATGATAGGCTTAAATTAGAGGTCCTGAGTGTATCAGGCTGGTTGTTCCATAAATATGGCAATCTATTGAAAAAAGTGCCTTTGAATAATTCGGTTCTGACTTTGTTAATCTTTAACTTATTACTAGAATATGACCTTAATCTTTTGTCTGAGCAAAAGTCAAAATATCTTTCAACTGAATAGTTATAGTAACCACACTTCAGTTTATAAAATGTTGCTATGTCTTTAACTTCTCTTTGGTACACCAATGGGAGAAGATTCAGCTGCTGAAGGCGTTCATTGTAAGTTAAATTAGGTAGGAGAAGCCGCGTAGCACGTCGTTGGACACCCTCAATAAGCTTTATTAAGGTGACAGACTTTGGACTCCAGATTTCAGAGGCATACTCCAAATGCGAACGCACAAGGGCCACGCAGAGAGATCTAAATGTTGGCAGAAACTGATCGCTCCTGCTGCTGAGTGAACGACGGATAAAACCTAACATCTTATTAGCTTTGTTCACCTGGGCGTAGATGTGCTCACTGAATCGAGTATCACAAGTGATGAGAACGCCAAGGTCACGCTGAGCCTCCACTCTCTTAAGTGCCTTTCCTCTCATATTGTAATCATGAATTATTGGATTGCGCTTCCTCGTTATCGTGCAAAGCGAGCATTTATCCATGTTAAAGCCATCTTCCAAACATCACTCCAGTCAACCAGGTTATCAATATCACCTTGAAACAGCACACAGTCACTGGCAGATCTAATAGTGCGGAAGCATTTGGCATCGTCAGCAAACAATGCCAATGTGCTACACTGAGACACAGCACAAGGCATGCCATTGATGAATAACACAAACAGAGCAGGACCAAGTAGGGAACCCTGCGGGACTCCCGAGGTGACCGGTAACCACTCAGAGTTTTTGCCATCGACTACATACATATACATAAAACTTTATTAATGTGTCTTGGAATGTCTAGCCGATGGGGTTAAGAACCCCTCTACTAATTGGGGACACCTAACAATATAATATAGTTACCTAACAATATAATATAGTTAAAAACCTACTAACTATCAACGAAAGAAAAAATTGATTTAAAAAGATTAAGAATTACAAAGGATGCAATTGGAGCAATTGTCGTCGTCTATCATTACACCTAGATCAAATTTACGAATACAATTTTTGAAACTAAATAATGATGGGAGAGTTCTGAATTCGCTTGGTAGCTTATTCCACAACTTTGGTCCCAGGTAGGTGAGCGAGTGTTTACCATATTTATTGGTCCTAAATCTGAGAATGGCGAACTCTGCCGTCCTCAAGTTGTAGGGTGAGCAATGCGCGTGAAATAGCTCGGATATTTTGATGGGGCATAGTTTGTGTTTCACCTTATACATAAGGATAGCAATATCTTGCAGTCTTCTGTTCTGAAGAGTCGTTAGGTCACTTTTGTCCAGCAATGCTTGGTAGCTTGATTGCTTATCTAGGAAAACTGCGCGTAGTGCTCTTTCTTGGACCCGTTCAAGCTTTCTTTTGTCGGTAGCACTACAGAAATGCAAAGTCAGGTGGCAATAGGTTAAGTAAGGCAATATGGCTGATTTATACAGAGTTAATTTAGCATTGGTAGGGACAAGTTTTTCAAGCCTTAACATTACAACTACCCTTTGACTCGCCTTCTTACATATTTCATTAATGTGAGTGTTAAAATTCACCTGTTCATCTATGGTGACCCCTAGCAACTTAAGACAGTCAGAAGTTCCGATGGTGTTTCCTTGAAAGTGTAATGGAGTGTTACTTTCTGTCCTGACCACTCGCTGAACCCTGTTATCCAGATAACTTGTGAACCACTGCAGAAGAGGGCCTTTAATTCCAATTTGATCTAACTTGCTGATCAAGTGGGGGTGCGAGACTGAGTCAAATGCCTTGGAGAAATCTAAAAAAGCAACGTCAGTTTGAACACCCTGGTCGATTGCGCTTGTTATCCGATGCACAGTATCCAAAAGCTGGGTGATAGTTGAGCGTCCCTTAACAAAGCCATGCTGCAGCGGATGTTCGGACCAATTTACTTCTAAAAATCATGGTCCAGTTTTGTTATTTAACAATATTTTCAGGCATTGAAACTTTTTCCTTCCGCCTGTGGCAATGGATGGTAAGGATGGACATGAATTTAAATTTACAAAAGTTGGGCCAATTTCTTCAAGTTCAAATGCTATGCCTGCAAAAATCACCAAACATTTTCATGTTTGGTGCTTCATTTGTGTATTTTTTTTATATCTTCTTCATATCGTGTAACCATAGCAACGGTGAGAAATGGCCCTCTGGGCTAGGCTTTTTTGTGTTTGGTATATGGGTGATTTGTCTATTCACGCATATAATGCTTAACTCCGAATTTCTCTATTACTCTGACTTACGTTTACGTTCCTTTAGATGAAGCTTGGGGGTTTTGGAGCTTGCCAGTATGACACCGAAATGAAAAAGTGAGTATAGTATGTATTGCAGTCACTAGACGACATTTCTTTGGCGGTTAATGTGGACGTACAGCGCAAGTCTTTCGTCGCCGCCCTTTTCTCGTGAAATAGCGGTATAATTACTTGTGTGCATTGGCAACCGATTTCACTTGAAAGTATATTTCCAGTTGCTTTTCAATCGTAGCGGCATGGAGCTTTTCAGTCGGGCGTTTTAAGGTACTTTGTCGAAAGTATTAAAAGCAAAAACGTTAACAACGAAACAGGGACTCTCCTTCTCCCCCTGCCTATTTTTTGTGATGCTTTTTACAATTTTCAAGTTGTTGGATAATGTGTTTATGAATATTTTTTTTAGAAACAAGCCATATACACAGAAAGACGTGGTGTACCAGTTTGCCAAGCTCTTCTCTTTTCACTTCGCTCATTTTAACTATAGGGTTAGGGTGACAGACGAGAATCTAGCCAGCAGCTTCAAGGTAGCCTTTCTGATGCCCGATTGGATTGGCACATTTGTTCATATGTGTTGTGAAGTATTTTCAAGTGTATTTTGGGATACTTTTTGGCAATTTAGCCTTAGTAGGTTCTTAATTAGGTTCTTAGTTTTTATGAAGAAGATAATGGATTGTTGATTGTACCGGGATACTAAATATACTTGGGTAGCAGTTTTTGTTCACAATTTTATAATTTTAACCCTAACAAAACTGATTACCGAAATTATATACAATTTGGCACAGTATGTTCTTGTTATACGTTAATTTACAAGCTGAAAGTTACTGTTGTTTGTTGTTGTTTGTTGTTTTGTTTGCCAAAAATTAAACAAATCAACTAAAATCTAATTACCTTAACTCTCATGGCGAGAAAGCCCAAGAGAAGCCACCGGGCTTATAAGGAATGGGCTCCCTCAGTTAGATAATTAGAACAAAATATTATCATAATTACACACGGGAAAATCAATGGCAGAGCTACAGTAAATCTCCTTGGTTAAATTGTTTATCATAATTTAACTGAAACCGAGCAAGGGCAACATTTTAGAACCTGCTTGATATTGCTTGGCTATGCAGGTTCTTATATTTTTGGTTATTAAAGTGGCAAATTTCTGCCTGAAGGTTCTTAATCCACAGGTTCTTATCCGCGGGTGTTTACTGTATCAGAGTTGGCCTTGGTCCATTAGTCTCGTTGAATTTGCTGTTTGTTTTCTTATCCATCATTTTAGTTTTTCATTGGTTTGTGTCTTATTGCCGATAGCAGTCGTGTTGGTTCAGTTATACGAAAACATTACAATTTTATACCGAGTTTGCTTTATTTTCATTCCCACGGTCAGCTAACCCATACATGTTCAGCTCTAGCTATTAAAACCGGTACTATTGGCTTGTTGGTTTTAAAGAGTCGGAGTCGAGTAGGAGTAGTAGGAGTTGGGTTGGGGGTGGGTGATAGCTGTAAGCAGTAGTAGTCAAAGAATAATAAAGACCAAGATGTAAGAAGCAGACTCTCGGTACCTTCTCTTGTGGCAAGCGAGTTGCTCGAGCACCCCCAACACATTTATTTTGGAGGAGAACCCGGGCAACTAACCTTGAAAATACTTCACAACAGTAGTATGCGGATGATTAAGCGTTATATTTTACATTAAAATCGCCCTTACCTAATAAGGCAACGAATCACACAGGTTTTTTTCTTGCAGATACTCCTAAAAAAGTAGATAACATCCATCGAAAAAAACCGTTTTGCGTATTCTTGCTTTCCTTCCGTTCAGTTTTAGTCAGAAATTCAGCTGTTTTGTCTTAGGATAGCTATTTTGTCTTAGTTCACTCATGAATAAACAGCTGGGCCGCCGCGCCTGGAAACAAGGTTGATTGATGGTCTATTGCTTATGCAACCTTTTTTCTAACTTAATTATCGATCAACCTCGTTTCCAAGCCTCCCGCATCTTCCATATTTGGTCAACGCCATTTGCCTTTCAAGAATTAGCCGCGGGCCTTGCATCCAATCAAAAACGGTGAAATACTTTGAATGAGTAAGGATTATCATTATCATTATCACTATTATTATTATTATTATTATTATTAATATTATTAATATTATTATTATCATTATTATTTTTCTTTTTCTTTTTCAACTTAATTTTTTTAACCCCTTCCCCTTTTTCCCTTCAATGTTTTAGGCCTCTGGAACACATGGCTACGCTTGCCCTTCTCATTTTTGCGACGTCTTTGATAGATGTTTGCAAGAAAACCCAGAAGCAAGACCTTCCTTTAAAGAAATCAGAGAATCACTTCTTGCACAAGTAGGTTTTCACGCACTTCTTTTCGTCTTCCTTCCCCTAATACTTGCCAAACATCATCGTAGATCGGGTGCATTGAAATTTCAGCTATGTTTTCTTGCAGAGCGATTACTATTTTTTGAAGGTAGTGTCGTTGTTACTTTGAAAAAATGTAGATTCTCCCTCTTTTTAGCCCTAGTTAACGTCAAAGAGCGTTAGATTCGAGGACGGGAATGGCTATGAGTACGAGATTTTCTGAGTACTAAGTAGTGTAGGCGCGTGAGTCAGAGTCATTTTGGTGGGAAAACGTGATAGCCATCGTCATTCTGCAGTGGGTTTTATCGTGAATGTCGTAGTGGCGACAGCAAGTTATCAAATGTAAGAATTTTTATCATTTTGCTATCGGGAGAGGGCTTTAAAACCTCTCTTCAGTATAAATAACCGTACTAACTTTTTTGGTGAAAAAGATAAATAGATAAAAAGGAAACTTTCCGGGATATTTTTTTTTTTTAGAATGCGCAAAAAACTTTGAGTTAAATCTCGTACTCGGTGTCATCCTCAAATCTAAAGCTCTCTATTATTTAACCGAAACCGGTCATTTTTAACTGAAGCGGTCTTTCATAAACTCTAATGAAATGACGGTGTTCTGTGTGTTGGAGTATGTATTTTTGTTTAACATATATAGATTTCTTCGTGTTTTTCTCTCAGAAATTCAGTGAGTAGCTTCACATCTGTTGTCGTCTTAGCTCTTGTCTTTTTGTTTTGCTGCTCGATAATATAGTCGTCAATTGACTTTTCTAAATACTCAAATCTCGTGGATCCTTGAGCCATTGTTAAATGTACAAGTAATTTTGTACTTTTGGTACTCAACGTTTTGTCGCTATGGAGGTTTGCTCGCAAAGAACTTGAACTCGTTGAATGAAATCTGTGGTATGTTTTGACAAATCTCTCCTGATTAGACGAAACGCTTTACACACGTGTGAGAAAGCCATTTCGCTGCTGTGATTGGCTATCAGAATTTTTTTAAGCGGGTTTTCTTATGAAGAAAACTGTGAGTAAATCTCAGTATGTATATAATAAATTCCTTTTAGAAGCTGAGTGGCCTACAACTGACTGTATCAAGCGAACACTCATGAAACCCTCGCTTGTGTCCGCCCAGTGGAGACAAGAACGATCAGCATTAAGTTTCTCCTAACAATATACCTAAGTAATGAAAAGAACAACGGAAATTAGTAACATGACCAGCTAAAAAAAACACTTTGATCATTAAACAAATTATTTTAATTAATTCTGTAAGGAAATGTATGGAGATCAGTCCAGAAAATTGATATGTAGATATTGGCGCTTAAGTGTATAGGTTCTGCTCATTATAGGTTTTACAACATTTTATTTACGCAGAAGTTTCCGTCGAAAGTGAGAGTAACTACTAGTTTTGTTGCCGAGTCACCGGATTTTATCGGCTATAAGACTGGAGAGTTGATTACATTAATCGCTAAGGAAAGGCACAAGTAAGCCATGACCTTTTATTAAGTATAGTCGATTCCTCCTGGAGGGACCTTTTGTCAGTTGAATAGAGCTGTGCACCTTAGGGAGGTTAAAAAGCAATGCTTGCATGCAGGTGTCTTCTAATGAACACAGATGTCCTCCTAAGAGAGAAGTAGAATGCAGCGTTTGCATGTGGCTGGGAACATGACCATCCTCTTATTATAAAAGATGTTCAAATGAGGGAGCTAAAAAATGCATTGTTTCTAAAGCATTATTTGGCGGGGAACGTGACTAAGTGCCCCTAATCAAAAAAGGTTTTTACTGAGGTAGGTAAAAAGTGCAGTGTTAATGTCTATTTCTGGCCATGGAAAAGTGCCCTCTAATTAAGAAAGGTCTCCGTCTAAGGGAGGTTTAAAATATAGTGAATATACTTGGCTGGGACCATGGCAAAGGTTTCTGTAGGTACCTCTCTAAAAAGAGTTCAAGAGGGATGGTCCATGCGGAATCTGTCTAAAGATTTGCATTTGTTTGTAGGGAAGACAAAACTGCCTGGTTAGGTGAAAGACAGGACAGGAAAATCGGCTTTTTTAAGAGCGAGCATGTGAAGGAAGTGTTGGGTTATGACATTATGGACGGTACGTTGATGAATTCGTCTCTGATTACCAAATACTAATATAGCCTGTAGCGTCAGTAAATAAAAACTCCCCTTCAGACAAGGATCGTTTATATTAATTAATTAATTAATTTATTTATTTATGGGTACGTATCTACAAAAAGCAGCCAGACGGAGACAAACGCATCAAAAGTGAGCAAAGTGCGCGAAACAGTGCAAAAGCCCCTGTGTACAGTCATAGTCGGATCCACTGTGCAATGGAACATCCAATGATCTGTTTTATAGGTCACTGATCATAAAACGCCCGCCTTTCTTTATCAGATTCATTTGTACCACCAGAGATTCGAGCACGGGGCCCAGAAGCCGAACTTGCGTTCCAAAAAGCCCTGCAGAAGGGAACAGTGAAAGTTTACCGTGGTCGCATAATGCTACTTGGCCAGGACAGGGCGGGCAAAACGAGTCTCAAAAACTCTCTTTTGGGAATGCCTTTCAACCCACACGAAGAGAGTACGGTCGGAGTTGAAGTTGATCCTTCAAAATGCCAAGTGGACGTCGACCAGATTAAAAATTGGGAGCCCATAAAAGATAAGAAGCTTGAAGTATCTGAGTTTGCTGAAGACATTGCAATGCTCATCGTGAAGGATTTGAGTAAAGGACAAGCTGACAAACAAGATATTTCGCAACCCGCGGGAGTCTTAGAAGAGGTACCTTTGATGAGACATTGTACATTTTTTGTAACCTTTTGTTGCTGTGGTCGAGATGACGATTTTGTTTCTTTAGCATGAAACTGAGACTTAAATGAGGTTATCTCAACCAACAGCTTCGTCTGATTTCGTTTTGCTGTTGTGTAATGTTGTATTTTTGTTCTCCGAACAGTGGAGATGTTATTTGCTGATTTATTATGTTGAACTTAAGGCTTGGGCTTCATTTCAAGTCTCTAATTAAAGAATTCAAAATATCAGTTTATTTTTCGGTCAGTGGAAGCTAACTTATGGTCCTTTAGTCCAGTTCAAATTTTTCAAAGCTTATTATACACCTGATTGTTTTATAGAGTAATAGGGACGAATTGGACGGCATTAAACCAAAGCAACCTGAGACCTTGCCACCCGTAGCCCAGTCGACAACGAATATAAAACCTGAAAGCACCTCAGAGCTTCATGGCTCCAGGGATGATAATGCAGAGGGGAAAAGTTCAAGCAGTTCATCAGATCAAGGTCTACAGTTAAATATCGACACCTCTGCGGCGTTGTCGGACGATGTCACAGAATTCGTCATTCAATACTTGGAGCGGCACAAATTGGATGATGACATCAAAGCAAGGGAAGTCATTTTGACGCTGTGGGATTTTGCTGGACAGCATCTATACTATGCGTCACATCCTATCTTTCTTTCACCGCGAGCAGTGTACGTCTTGGTGTATAATCTTAGCAAAAGTCTAAGTGCCGTGGCTGAGCCCTGTGTCAGACAAGGGATTCATGATATTGTCTTAGACAACCCAAACAGTGAGACCAATTTGGATAGTTTATTGGCCTGGTTAGTTTCTGTTCATAGTATTCGACGTCCCGCAGAGAGTAAAGCTGTGCAAGGAGCAGACCATCAAGGCAGGACGTTGCCTTATCTCCGTCCACCAGTCTTGATTGTTGGTACAAATGCTGATCACCCTTTCGAAGAGCCCAAGAAAATGGAAAAGTGTATCGAGAGGGGTATCTCGGGCAACACCTACGAAGCGCACGTGATCAGGCCTTTCTTTGCTGTCGATAATACTCAGTCTAATAGCGATGACGGGATCCAGAAACTACGGAAGAAAATTATGGAAGTATTGAAACTGGAACCGTACATGGGTGAAGAGGTACCAATTAGGTATGTTTCGCTAAAATAGTATGTTCTATCTAACGTAGTACCACCCTTTTTTGGATTGCACTGAAAAGCGCGATTAAAGGAAAACTCAATATAAGACGTCTACTTCAGTTATGTCAGGTTCCGCTATTACAAAATTAATTGTCCTTTTGTCAGTTGAGGGGTTTAGACCTCTCAGAACAACTTGCAGCTCTTCCATAAATAAGCTAGACGTCAAGTGAAATATTCAATTCCCCTAATGCAAAAACCAAATACACAAAGTCAAACCCACTTTTGTTTACCTCCAATCCTTTTTCGGTCGTCTTTGCTTGTAACCGTTTCTTCGTTGTCCCTTTATTGTTCACAACAGGTGGTTCAATTTCGAAAAAGTTGTCGAGGCATTGGTTGCGAAGAAAACTGTCCACATGTCCCTGGACCAGCTTCTGGCCGTCACCAGAAGAGTTTGCCAAATCGAGGACGATGCGGAGTTGACGGCCATGTTGAATTTCTATCATGATCTTGGTATTATAGTCAAGCATGGCCATACAGTAGTGCTGCAGGCTCAGTGGCTTATAAACCTATTTAAACAACTGATAACTGTCCCGCCTTTCAATGAGATGGTAAGTAAGTCATTAATGACTTTAAGATTCAAAGACGGGGACGAATACGAGTTCTAGATTTTGCTCAATACAAAGTAAAACGCGCGTGAACCAGTTTCCTTCTTGGGAAAAACCTGACAGCCGTCGTCTGTTTATTAGCGATAATATCCTAGTGGCGAAAACAAGAGTTGTCAGATGTTAGACGTTTTATCATTTTGCGATCGGGAAAGGGCATCACCTCCTTCAATAATCAAAGGCTCCTAGGAGCGAGCTCATGGATGAATTGAATTAGTGTAGAAAAGACAGTTCAATAATCAAAAACATGTAAATCTTTTTGAACGGTTCATGGCGTACGGACTTGCCAAAATACAGCGTGACTCGAAGTATCCGATTGCAGTTAGTACCTGAATATTCTAGAAACTTTTTTATCAGCGCAGCATTTCTACTTACAAAGCAAAGATCACTTTTAAAAGCAATTATTAACGCTTTTTAGTTGTAAAATAATTTGCTTTCTCATGTGACTGTCAAACACTTTCCGAACGACAGTGCACTTTCTTGTAAAATAGCCAAGTTTTTTATTTAAATCGTGGTTTTAAAAGTGCGATGCTTTCAAATAAATGTTTCCATATGATGAGTACGTAACGGTTAGTCCGCAGTACGAGCTATATTAAATACAGAATACAGGCGTTTATGGCTAAATTGAACTGCTTTAGAACGCGCTTTTGATAAACACGAGCTAAAAATTATTTTAATACATGTAAAACGGTTAAGCTCAAAGTAGTACGTGCTCTGACCTAGCCAAGTAATTTAGACGCAGTCGAAGTATCCGATTGCCTTTCGCCAGAGACTTGTTTATACCAGCGCAGCATTTCTTGTAGAAATTACATTAATAGCACTGCTAAATGGAATCACCGACAAACAAAAGCCTACTTTAAGGCAAAGATCACCTAAGAATTCAAGCAAAATAGCGTAACGCTTGTTGGTTCTAAAACCTGTGCTTCTAGTTGACACAACATTAATTCATTCCCTGTTTGCATACGAAGACAAATGGTCGAACGGATTCGTCCAAATAACTGAATAAACCTCAATAGATACTCCTCAATGTCGCTTTAACAATTCGAGGACCGTTTTTTTGCAGTGATTATAAGGCTCTTTGGCTTATTCGCTTTTCACTGAACGAAATCTTATCGTCAGGCTGCAATAGCTCTTTCACACTCCTGTTGATCGCATCTTCTCCATATCAAGTACAATATCGGGAACAAATGTGCACAATTCGTCCAAATATACAACAATGATCCACGCTCAATTATTTCAATGTCCGTTTAACAATTCTAAGTCCATTTCTTGCGGATGATATTATCAGTGTTCTTTAAAATATTGTTATTTTTCCAAAACCCATCTCTATAATTGATGTGTCGGGAAAAAAAATTCGCCTTACTAGTACCCTCTAGAATATTCCAAACATATACGTAAAAGGCACTTGGAAAAAAAGTAATACTAAGTAAGGGAGGTAGGAGTAACGTGTTTAATCTGACTTTAATGAATAAATTAATGAGAATCGAGTGAGTGAGTGAGTGAGTGAGTGAGTGAGTGAGTGATCGAGTGCCCTTCGAGTGCCTCCAAAAGCCCATGGCATGACTACGTCATCCACGAGCTAAAAATAAAGGTAATGGTGCTATCTTTTCTGCTAAAAAAGTTTCTAAGCATTCCGGGGTGTCTAATACACAAATAAATCGTTAATTCAATTATAGTATTCGTAGTTGTTCTCGTCCTCGAATCTAAAGGTCTCTAATTGTGCGTTTGCGCGGGTTCCGTGTTTTTATCCCCAGGCCGATAAGAATCATTCTTAAACTGATGCATCTTTCATACATCTGCATTTACTGTCCCTTACGAAAATCTCTCTAAAAATGTTGAATACCTCCGTTAATGAGGACTTTAGTAATGTGTTCCCTCGTTTTTATACTCGTAAGGTATCGGATGTACATCATGTAGTCGCTTATCATTCAACAACTGTAACATTTAGTGATATAAACTATTTTACCATAACCTGAACGATTTCGTTTACATGTGTTGGTCGACTTCTATTGTCTGTACGAACATAGACAACCTCTTGATAGCGCAAACATTTTTCTCAGCCCACGCTTGCGAGTTTCTGGTAAATGTCTCTGGAATTAGGCATCCAAGCACTTCAGTGTTATTGCAAACAAAAACACAAATCGACCATACTAACAACAGGCCTCTGAAGATATTCCTGAATTGTTCTAAATTTTAGGATCCTTTGTTCTCCAAATGTTGGCGCGAGCTGGAGGAAAACGGCATCCTTAGAATGGCTCTTGTAGATCACGTTTTCACGGATTTCATTCAGAATGGCCTTTTAAAGCAGGACATTCTTGATATGATGGAGCTGTATGGCTTAATTGGCAAGTTCTCCTGCTCGTCTCCGATGGACGATCAGGTGCAAGAGTACTTTGTTCCAGCTCAGCTCAGATCATCTCCGTCTGGTCTGTGCAAGATAAGTCCCTCCGATGGTGATCCGTGTCCACTATATATCCATTTCCCTGATGGATTTGTTCCACACGGGCTTTTTACTCAGCTACTGTCGAGGTGCATAAGTTGGTGCTCCCAACAAGGCCTCGAGCAGTATCCACAGCTATTTAATAATGGTGCAAGGCTTTTCATTGGAATGCAGAGTGCTTTCGAGCTTTTCCTGATGTGCAGAAAGAGATTCATCAAGGTTGTGTTGAAGATGAGTCAGAGATGTCGTTCCGTGACTGGTTCATTGACAGCTACCTCAACGAAAATGGCCAATGAGGTTCGGGCCTTTGTTGAGGCTTCTTTAAAAGCCCTTATGTCTGAGCTGTCCTGCTGGCAGAGGCTCCAGTATGAACTGTGTGTCGCTTGCTGTCATTGCTTGCAAAATGGTGACCAGTGCAGCAAACATGAATCAACAAGTTGTTCTCAGGATGAGTGCCTGCATCTTCTCCGAGTACGTCTCGGAGAAGAGCCAATTTGTACAAAGAGCTACAATGGTGAAGCGGTTAAGGTGAATGGGTTGGAGAAATGGTTCCAAGCTTACAAAGCTCAGGTAATCTTCTTTTCACTGATGCCATCTGTTTAGATGTCTAAAACAGCAGTCTCTGCTTTACAATTTTAAAAGTAGACTAATATTGCGCCTTCGCTAATGCTTGTGTTACTCCTTTGTTTGATTTGAATTAGAATGACGAGGAGACCTTGGAGTGCTCGTTTGTGGGCAACGAAATTTTAAAAGGTAGTGTGTTGATTTCCTTTTCCTTTGTCTTGATTTCCCTTTCCTTTTTGTTTGTTTCGTATATGCTACGCTTGTTTTAAATCTCGCGTCAAACAAATGCAATTTAAAAGCTAATGTACATAGTAGCTGTTGCTTCCTTGATCTGTACCGCTAATAATTCACTCTTTCTAAGTGGCAAGCCTTTGTAACAAAAGTGTCTCAATCACAGTCTTAATTTTACCTTGACTGGTTGAACCAGGCAACTGATCAGAATTTATCTTTTTTGTGTTATATATTTCCATCACTGTTGGTCATTTAATTTCTACTGAAAGTAACCTTGAAAATAGGAGAGTTTTTTCACCTTTTTCAGCTGATTGAAGGCGAGCGCGGTGCGCCAGAGACGCCCGTTGAA